AAGGCTTTATTTTTGAAAAAGCAATAGCAAAAGCATAAAGATTAAAATAGATATAGAAATTGATATAATATATTTATATTTTCTTATGCTTAAATAATATCTAACACAATGTTATATATTATAGAATTAATATCGATAGCGATTATTAAAACATGTAAAACATTGTCTTTCTCTTTTTTATTGAAAAATTAAATGTAATTTTCATATTTTATGCATAATTAATTCGGTAACTTAAATTATTTATTATTATATTACATAAATAAAATGTTCTACGTTCTTCATTTGTGTATTAATAATCACATTAAGATGAATTTAATCATATAATGTACAAGATTATTAAAAATTATTCAAACATAAAATAACATAAATATATCGTTAATTTTCCAATTTTTTGCAAACAAAACTTCATATAAAAAAATTTTATTCTACAATTTTGCACAAGAAAACATCTCTTTCCAGTTACACCACTGATTGCGAATGTATTTTAATATACTCTTTTTATAAGATATTCAAATTTTTGTAAAATATTCAAATTCGATACAAAAAATATTGTTAAATTTAACTAATACAATATCTATAAACAATAAAAAATAAAAATAATTCTGCTATATTCTTTGTTAGCGAACATTAATCATATATTATTTTTAACAGCCTTTTACTATTCTGTTCTTGTTTTGGAATCTATTGATACGTTCTCTCTGCCCACTTTCCTTGCCATTTTTCTTTTTCCGTCTTTTCCTGTCTGCCATTCGTCGTGCTCATCACGTATCCGGCGCCACGGTGTCGAGCCAGCAGCGTTGCAACGCGTCGGTGAACTCCCGATGATCACCGCGATAAGCGTGTTCCGAAAGTCGAATCAACCCCTCCCCCCTCCCCCCTCTTCTCTGTGACGTAATTTGAAATGAGATAAAATTTTCGAGAAAGTCAAATTTCTCAATACTATTATCTTTTCTTTCGCGGATTGCAAGAGACAGACATACGAAAAGTGCTATATAGTTGGACAGTTCATATTTTCGTGGTGCTCTATGTCAAACTGTACAAGGTCAACAGTTCGAATACACATACCCACACGCACATACAAGATCCGATATCCGTCACATTCTTCATAGATCTTGGATAACGCAAAGAATGATAATTTTTATTCACATGATCATAACTCTGGATTGGGAGGTCGCAACAAACTCTTTTAAAGGTCTCATTTTTCTTGTCTTTAAAAATACTTTCAAATGAGTACCCACTCGACCCTTCATAACGTTTAAGATTTTTAAACCACCCCCACCACTTGTTCTATAGATGCTGGGGGTGGGCGCTATCCTGGTTATTATCCCATAAAATCCCTCAAAATTTCAATTCTCTATCTCTATCCTTCTAAAGTTATCAAGGTACTATACGTTTATTCCACCCAGCATGTAACAATAATAATTACTGACATTTAAATAATAAAGAAATTTAATGATTAAATATAAAATTAAATTTTATCAAACAAATAAATTAAAATATATGTCCTGAACAATATATTTACAATATTCCCTATTTTATAAACAGTCTTTATCCGTCTTTCTCTGCTGCAAAGACGCACTGTAGCTATTACAAAAAGAG